TCCAGTGGGCAGCGGAGACTGCGGGAACTGTGGGATAGCTACCCACAGTGCAACGCTCCAGAAGTCGACGCTTGCCTCGGTACTGTGGAAGCACTCCGCCGAGTTAATGCACTTAATGCACTTAGAGCATTTTCTGTGGGGACACACACACTCGAATATATAAAACCGATTTCTAAAAAACCGACTTCTATAAATTCGACCTAATTCCGTAGTGTAGACATACCCTTACTGTGGATAGATTAGCTTATTAGTGTTTCCTCTGGAGTGAAAGAGAGAGAGAGAGAGAGAGAGAGAGTGTGTGTGTGTGTGTATATATGTGTGTGGTTTTTTGTTTTGTTTTCTCCCTGATAGGTCTACTTGTATCTGTTTTTACTCCTGTGGAGGTACCCCAGTACTGGAACAGCTATGCATAAAAGTCCCCATGTTTTAAAAATTGCCCTTCTTGTGAGGCAGTTGTGGCCATTAACAAAGAGCATACTAGATGTCTCATTTGTCTAGGTGCAAGACATATAAGGGGCAAATGTATCTGCCAGTCCTTTACTAAGGGGATGCAAAACCTCAGGAGGCATGTCCAAGGACATACCTCATGGAAAAATTCATTTGTCCTGTCTCCAGTCCAGGCCATTCTGGAACTGAGCAAGCTTAGTACTCCTCTACCAGAAGTGCTCTGGCTGCTCCATCTACTCACAGAGGAAGAAAACCCCTCTGAAAACCTCCAGAGAAAAGAGACATAATTTTCCACACCAGGGGACATCTGGCCCAAATTGCCAGCTCTCTGGAGATTAAGACTACATTGAGAACCAAGAAGGGCTCCTTGAGCATACACAGGGACTCCAGTTGCCACACTTCAGCTGCTAAAATTCATATAAGCTGTCTGGTACTGAGCTAAAATTGAGAGCTCCAGAGTGCCCCTGGTACCATATAGCTGATGTATGTAACTCTGGTACTGTTAACTCTGGTGCCAACCACATTGGTACCATTGGTATGGGTACCTAATGTATGGTCAGTGACTCCAATGCTGGTGGCCGTGACACCAGTGCCATTGATTTCATTGCATGAGGTATACCAGTAACTGTGGCATTGATGCTGTCAGTATAGTTGACTCCCCAGGAATATAAGGCAGCCAGGAAGCTACTCTACGTATTGGTACTGGAGTCTTGCTGCAACAGACTATTCTCTTGGTGATAACCGCAGTTCCGCCAACGTCAATGGGTGCATGTCTGGAAGAGATTTAGACCCAAGCACAATGGTCAAGTTAATTGGGGATGTCATTGATTCTACAACTGCCACAGCCTACCTGCATTAGGAAGGGTTCTAGTCCATGCTAAACTTGTGTACCAGTCTGCAAGTTCATGCAAGGACAATAGAAATCTTGTCTGAGGCAGTTAGGGCATGTGGCATCCTGAACGTACGTGACTCAGCATGCTAGACTTCACTTACAATGTATGCAGAGCTGGTGGAGATGTGTGGATTGACCAAACAAGTACCCTCTGGACATCCTGATTCATTTACTTGCTCAAGTTCTATCATCCATGTACTGGTAGATGAGTCTGCAGAACGTTTGCTGGAGAGTACTTTACACTCCTCTTCTTCCAGCTATATGGTTCATCAAAGAATCATCCCTCCATATAAACTTCTTGGATTTAAGGGGCATACACTGAGCATGCAAAGCTTTTCTCACCTCCATCAAGTGCCTGATGATACTAGTGATGGAGACAAGGTGGGTGAGGCAATACTTTTTATTGGACCAACTTCTGTTGGTAGAAGAGACAAACTTTTGAGCTACACGGAACTCTTCTGATCTGGGTGATGATGGACAACACAGCTACAATGTTGTACCTCAACAAACAGGGTGGAGCAAGGTCCAGTCCTCCATGCCTGGAGATGGTACAAGTTTGGCACTTCTGCATTTGAGGGTGCAGTACCCTCAAAGCCTGTTACCTTCCTGGGGTGCAGAATGTTCTCGCAGATCACCTCAGCAGGAAATCCCAGGAAAATCACAAGTGGTCACTGAAAACAGCATAGTGAGTCTAATAGTCCAGAAATGGGGATATTCCAGTGTCACCCTCTTCACAACCAGACAAAACTGAAAATGTCACTCTTTTTGTTTCAGGGCCAGTCAGAGTCCAGGTTCTGTCACAGATACATTGTGGTCAGTACTAAAAATAAACTCACATTGTGAGATGCACAGTACATAATGACCACCCAGAGAGAGAAGCATCTAGTCCCTGCTTGAACAGAACCTGCATATCACCTTCTAGTGACTGGCCTTTAACTTGAAGGCTTTAAGAACATTATTTCCAGTAGCGATAAATAACTTCTTAAATATTATCCATACGTACATTTCACAATGATTATGACAACCAGTAAGCTACTGGCTCTCAGAAGAGTCCTTACATTCCACCCTTTGGTATGTAGATACTTGACCCAGGTGATCCCTGTAAACCCATATGTGCCCTTATGCCATCTGCCAACTGGCACCACAGAGTTCCTGAGTCACAGTTGTCTATTCACACATTTGCTGAACATTATTCCATCACAATAGCTTCCAGAGCTGATGCAGGCTTTGAGAAATGTGTTCTTCAGTTTTGTTTAAGTACAGTCCAAATTCCCATCACCTAAGGAATTCTTCTGGGTAATCACCTGAAATGGAATAAATATATGTGCACAGGTACTCCAAAAAGAAGAACCCATTCCTTCCCTGTACAGTAACTGTGGTTCTTCAAGATTTATTGTGCACATATATATTCCATGAGTCATCCTCTTTCCCCACTACTTCGGAGTCTAATGTCGCAAAGATTCTGGTGCACAGGAACTGAGAGGACTTTCCTCCCTCAGTTGGAGGTACGAGGACCCTCAGGGTGCATGTGCCATCCCAATGGGGTATTGCTGACCAGAAGTATTTGGAACAAGTGCGCTGGGCACACACACGTGAAGTGGAATGCATATGTGGCCAATGCATCTCGAAGGACAACAGTTATTGTACAGGTTTCAGAGTAGCAGCCATGTTAGTCTGTATTCGCAAAAAGAAAAGGAGGACTTGTGGCACCTTAGAGACTAACAAATTTATTTGAGCATAAGCTTTCGTGAGCTACAGCTCACTTCATCGGATGCATTCAGGGGAAAATACAGTGGGGAGATATATATACATAGAGAACATGAAACAACGGGTGTTACCATACACACTGTAATGAGAGTGATCACTTAAGGTGAGCTATTACCAGCAGGAGAGTGGTGGGGGAAGGGGAGGAACTTTTGTAGTGATAATCATGGTGGGCCATTTCCAGCAGTTGACAAGAACATCTGAGGAACAGTGGGGCGGGGGGGAATAAACATGGGGAAATAGTTTTACTTTGTGTAATGACCCATCCACTCCCAGTCTCTATTCAAGCCTAAGTTAATTGTATCCAGTTTGCAAATTAATTCCAATTCAGCAGTCTCTCGTTGGAGTCTGTTTTTGAAGTTTTTTTGTTGAAGAATTGCCACTTTTAGGTCTGTAATAGAGTGACCAAAGAGACTGAAGTGTTCTCCGACTGGTTTTTGAATGTTATAATTCTTGACGTCTGATTTGTGTCCATGTATTCTTTTATGTAGGGACTGTCCAATTTGACCAATGTACATGGCAGAAGGGCATTGCTGGCACATGATGGCATATATCACATTGGTAGATGTGCAGGTGAACGAGCCTCTGATATTGTGGCTGATGTGATTAGGCCCTCTGATGGTGTCCCCTGAATAGATAGTGAACACAGTTGGCAACGGACTTTGTTGCAAGGATAGGTTCCTGGGTTAGTGGTTCTGTTGTGTGGAGAGTGGTTGCTGGTGAGTATTTGCTTCAGGTTGGGGGGCTGTCTGTAAGCAAGGACTGGCCTGTCTCCCAAGATCTGTGAGAGTGATGAGTCGTCCTTCAGGATAGGTTGTAGATCCTTGATGATGCGTTGGAGAGGTTTTAGTTGGGGTCTGAAGGTGATGGTCAGTGGCGTTCTGTTATTTTCTTTGTTGGGCCTGTCCTGTAGTAGGTGACTTCTGGGTACTCTTCTGGCTCTGTCAATCTGTTTCTTCACTTCAGCAGGTGGGTATTGTAGTTGTAAGAATGCTTGATAGAGATCTTGTAGGTGTTTGTCTCTGTGTGAGGGGTTGGAGCAAATGCAGTTGTATCGTAGAGCTTGGCTGTAGACAATGGATTGTGTGGTGTGGTCAGGGTGAAAGCTGGAGGCATGTAGGTAGGAATAGCGGTCAGTAGGTTTCTGGTATAGGGTGGTGTTTATGTGACCATCGCTTATTAGCACCATAGTGTCCAGGAAGTGAATGACATCTTCATCATCTGGACCCATGGAAAAGAAGCCCTTGAGGAATTCCACCATGATTTCAACAATTTCCATCCCACTATCAACCTCAGCCTGGACAAGTCCACACAAGAGATCCACTTCCTGGACACTATGGTGCTAATAAGCGATGATCACATAAACACCACCCCCAACTGTTCCTCAGACGTGCTTGTCAACTGCTGGAAATGGCCCACCTTGATTATCACTACAAAAGTCGTTCGTCCCCCCCCCCCCGCTCTCCTGCTGGTAATAGCTCACCTTAAGTGATCCCTCTGGTTACAGTATGTATGATAACACCCATTGTTTCATGTTCTCTATGTATATAAATCTCCCCACTGTATTTTCCACTCAGTGCATCCGATGAAGTGAGCTGTAGCTCACGAAAGCTTATGCTCAAATAAATTTGTTAGTCTCTAAGGTGCCACAAGTACTCCTTTTAGTTATTGTACAGGTAAGTAACTGTTCTTATTGTGAATTTTATATCTATAGTCCTCCAGTACTCTCTGCTTTGAAGCAAATGAAGTTCAAATATTTGATTTCTTAAACAAACAGTTCTATTTTAGATATTCCTTTCCATTTTATTTTTTGGTGATACTGCCATTGGTAACTTTTTGAAAGAGTGGAAAAGGAAGCTATAATTCATTAGTCATTTACTATTTATATTTGTTACAGACAAGATGCATATTGGTCCTGACATACCCTCACCTATTCTAAATTGCTCAGCAAGTGATATACTGGGAGACTCAATCTGTGCCATAATCTCATTAGATTATAATAGTATGTTAACTGTGTGTGAAAGACTAAGTGGAAAATTACTTCCAAAGACACTTCAACAGTTTATCTGGACTGATAAACTTCTAAAAGCAGATACAAAAGTTGACAAGTTTGAAAGAATAACGTAAGTATTTATTGTTTTCCTCTGTTGAAAAATATTGTGGTGTTGTTAGTAACTGCAGCCATCTAATTCTTGGACTATTAATATATTCAAAGTAATCCCTGATTCTCTGACATGAAATTAGCCCAAATGTTCTTCAAACTGTTGAGAATAATACCACCTTAACATCATCTTGAAATACAAGTACGAGAGCGGTTCCTCTCTGAAGTTTGTATTAACTCCCACCTCTTGGAATATCCAAGAAATGCAGAAGCAGTTTAGTGACATTTGACTACTAATTGACTGGCTCCAGGACACTTTCAGTTTCTGCCTGCCTAGATCTCTGTAATCACAATGTTACTTTTCATTCAAATGAATTTTTATAATTCAACTCCTCCCATGTTGTAGTCACTTGATGTTCTAATATGGAACAAGAGCAGGTGTAAATGGAACAACCCACAGCAACTTCTAGGTAACAAACTGTGGGCCAAATCAGACCTTGCTCAGTCAGATCTCCCCCTGAAATGAATGAGAACCTTTGCCTGTGGGGTAAATGCTTTTCTTTGCTCTGAGTTCAAGTGGCTGAAGGTGGAGCATTGGAGACCTACAGACACTGGGGCATGAGGAGGAAATCAGGCCATGGAGCCAATCTGTAGCTGCTTGCTTAGCTCTGAAGCAGCCTTGGCACCTGCCTCTGGCTCTGCATGTAGAAGTACCCCTTCTGGCAACAGCTGGTAACTGGCTTGGTGGTAGACCTGCTTACCCCACCCATCTCTTCAACCCCCTCTGTGCCTTGCTCCCAAAACTGACTGCACAGAGGGCTGCTGAAGAGCTGGGCAGGTGAGCTGGCAGGAAACCAGGTAAGTGTCAAAACCTGCCTGATTTCCATCAGAATTTTGTCAAAATCATCACATTCCTGCAAAACATTTCAATTTCGTTTAATTGGCATTTTCTGTTGGAAAATTTCTATCCAGGTCTACTTTCATGCCTCCCAAATATTTTAAAAGAAAAATAAGTCTTTTTCTCTGTTTCTTCCTCCCTTCTGGGGAAATAATTTGATTACTTTATAAATGTTTTTGTTTGTTTGTGGGTTTTGTCTGTGTGTATGTGTGTGCACGCGCGTAAATTACTGAGGGGAAAACAGTTGAATATTTTGATTCTGTTCTAAAAGCTGTGAGATCAGTGGTCCTTGTTATCCCTTGACAGAAAAAAAATCATAGGTCCAACTCCTATCAAAGTTCTCTCTCATGAGTACATGAGCCACTCCCAGTTGATTGTCAGTTTAATTGTTCTGCAGAACACAGATGTTGTGGGAGGTCATAATCATGGATGGAGTGGTGCTATCTCAGGAAGGTAGGGCCAATCTCACGGAGGGCTTTGACTGTCATTTCATAGACCTTGAACTTGACCCTGTATTCAGTGAAGAATCAATGCAGAAAACTGGATTCTGGTTTGATAAAGTACTGATATCTTTGAAGACGTGGCTTTTTGGAGGCCCATGGAAAAGTCTAGTAATTTTATGCTTGAATGATTTCCAAATGTAGGGCTGAATTGTGTCCCTGGTTATGCACATGCATCTCTCATTGACTTGAATGGGACTTATGTGCATCCAGCAGAGCCCTGAGCAGATACATGCTGTGGGCCAGATCCTCAGCTCTTGTAATTTGATATGTCTGTTTATGCCAATTGAAGATCTGGCCCTTTGTGTATTATTGTTTCCACCCCACCCTCCATCATTTCCAGAAAGTTTGAATTCGCTGTGAAAGGGGCATATTCTAGAATAGCTCATTGACATGATGAATGGGCATTTCTGGAACTATTGCATCACAATATAATAGTCTGCATTGTGTCTGAATGCTAATGTATAGAGTGAGTATTTTGGATACTTTTAGGTACCAAGTATTTTTATGTCAATTCATCTCAGTTCATAACAAGCTTTTGAAAACTATATGTAATCAGGGAAATTAATCAGTGCTTCACCTTCTCAGAATTCTCGAGAGAGAAGCTAGAGTGAAGTTTGGACGAACAGTGGAGCACCGAATTGCTGAACTGAAAATTAGAAGTGCCACCCGATCACCAATTTCAGGCCTTATTGAAAATGTAGTTGTGGAGGTTAGTCAGAAAATGTAAAACCTGGCATGCTAACTATTTTTTATTCTATATTTTCTTACTCCTTGTCCTGAGCACTTCATAATGAATATTTGCACTATGTAATGGTGATTAAAACCATATTCATTTGGTCATAGCAATACTACCATTCTGTTGCATATTTCCAAATATCAGGTGACTTCTGGGGTTTTCTTCTCCTATCCTTAATTGGTAATCATTTTGCTAATGTTCTCCTAGCTGGCTCCTTTGGTTGGTTACTGAATTCTGGAATATCATTGCAAACACCATCGTATGATTTCAACCAGTCCACAAGATGGAGTAAACTTTGTCTTCTTGCACACTTGAAGTGATTCTTACAGTAGAGAGAAGCATACTGTTTATAGTGCCATTAAATAATTCAGTGATCTATAACTCACAATAAAACCGAACATCAGTTTTATTCTAAAAGTAATTTGCAGCGTGAACAAACTAGTGATAGGTGGAACAATATTTCCTCATAAAGAAACCCATTAAGTGACATAGAACTCCCCAGATGCTCCTGCAAAGAGCCAGATAAATCACTTCTACATTTTAAGAATGTTTTGCAGTTCTTTGGCAGATGTGCATGTGTGCAGAGGAGCAGATGAGGGCACAGTGACCATAACCTTTGTGTTGCTAAATTGAAGATCAAATTAAAGAGGATGAGGAAGGTTAAAAGACAACTGTGCATCAGCAATGCACAATTAAAAGACCCAAATACAAAAAAAGCTTTTCAGCTTGAACTGAAGAACAAGTTCAGTATTCTAATGGATTTAAGTGAAGAAACCCAAAACATTGATACTCTATGGGAAAACATCAGAGAGTGCTATCTACAAAGTTCAAAGACAGGTCTAATAACAATGAAATCTAAAAGGAAAGAATGGATTAGCGATACTACTTGGGCAGCTATGGAAAAGAGAAGAAATGTAAAGCAAAAACTCATGAATGCTAAGTCATGTGAAGAGACAAGCAAGTGGCAAGAAGAATACAGTGCTCTAGACAGAGAGGTTAAAGGGAATGCAAGAAGAGATAAAAGGGCATATATTGATAGAAAATGTCAAGAGGCTGAAGAGGTAGCAAAAGAGGAGACCTTATAACCTTGTATAAGGCAACCAAATATCTAACAGGAACCTTTAGAAGTACCGGAGGCCCTACTAAAGATGCAAACAGAAAGACTCTTAGTACAGAATAACAACAGAAAAGATGGGCAGAACATTTTCAGGCTGTTTTAAGTAGACCATGCTCAAACAAACTACTAGAAATGTTTGATGATGACCTACCACTAGAGCTTGATATTGATTTAGGAGATCTTACAAATGAAGAAGTTAGAAAAGCCATCAGTATACTAAAAAATGAGAAAGCAGCTGGAGAGGATAATGTTACTGGAGAGATTCCCAAAGCAAGTGATGAAATAGCCCTCCAGACTTTCCTTGTGTTTTTGGATAGAATATGGAATAAAGAAAATAACCCAACCCAGTGGAAGAGAGGCCTTAGGATGATGGTATCACCTGCTGTAACTGGAGAAAAATCACATTCCTCTTGGTGCCTGGGAGAGCAATTTGCAGTAACATCTGGTAACGTATCAAGAAACAAATAGACTTTCAACTTAGAGAGGAACAAGCAGGTGTTAGACCACTGAGATCACGCGCAGGCCATATTGTTGTTCTTAGACATATTATGGAACAAGAATGGAGTGGCAAGCACCTCTTGTGATAAATTTTATAGCTTTGCAGAAGGCTTTTGACAGCATACACAGAGAGATAGTCTGGCAAATTTTGGCACACTACAGAATACCAGCAAAAATAATTAGACTAATCAAGGATCTATATGATAATGCTGAATGTGCAGTCAGAGATGGTGACAATATCAGCCAATGCAGTGACAACTGGAGTAAGGTGAGGGTGTATTATGTCCCCACTATTGTTTGCACTGGTCATTGACTATGTCATGAGGAAAGTAACCACAGAAGGCAACCAAGGAATTTTATGGACAAATGATAAAACACAATTGTATTACCTCTTTTTTGCTGATTTACATTGTCCTACTTAGTTCAACAATTCACTTAATGGAAGAAAAGACCTAGCTTTTGGCAAATACAGCAAAACAAGTTGGTTTGTTCATCAACAAACCAGAAAAGAAATATGGCTATCAGTGTCTCAGAAGTTACCATTAGTGTGAACAAAGAAACACTAGAAAAAGAGTAATTTTACTAATCTATGGAGTTAAATGTGCAACGATGATGACGCTATGCTAGATGTCAAGCAACGAATATCAAAAGCAGCAAACAATCTCAATTAAACTGGAAAAGATTTGGAATAGTAGCATGATTGGCACTGACATAAAACTATGTATTTTTAACACTTCCATTATGTCTGTCTGCCTTTATGAACCAGAGTCACTGAAATCTACAACAAGATTCATTGATAAGATCAAGGCATTCCAAAGATATATGGATAGATGGATAGATAGATAGATATACACATATTCATATACATATATCTATATACACGTATCACTGCATTGAGAAGAGTATTTTGCAACATCAGAATTCCAAGTAGAGCAAATCTGGAAATTTAATGAGGATGGATTTATTTAGGACATGCTTTAAAGAGGTCACCAACACAATTTCCACAACAAGTGATAATATGGAAGAGAAAAAGAGGGAAACCTAGAGAAACATTTATGCCTAAGAGTATCAAAAGAAACCAAATCCATCAGCATGACACTGAGAAGCCCGAACAGACTATCACATGACTGAAATAAATGGCGGAAACTGGTTGATGTCCTATTGTGCACCTGAGAGCACAAGAGGATAAAGAAAGAAGAGAAAATATGAATGACTATTTGAAAGGTTTATTGTGAAAAGAAATACTCCGCGATTCAATGAACAAAAAGTTAAACTACCACCTCACTAGGTGACAGCTCAGGCACAGCCCAAACAGATGACACTGTGCATGCACTTAATGAGACCAGTGGTTTTCAACCTGTGGTCCGCAGATCTCTGCGGGTCTGCAGACTATGTCTAAGATTTCCAAAGGGGTCTGCACCTCCATTTGAAATTTTTTAGGGGTCTGCAAATGACAAAATGTTGAAAACCACTGAATTAGACCATGTCTAAAGCCTCTGTAATTAATCTACCATATTCTTGTGATGGTCAAGATTTCTTCCAATCTGGTATTCAGCCATTGCTTTCTCCAAAGAACAACTTCCTTCTTCTAGAACTGTTAAGAGGGCTGTAAAGCTGTGACTTTTTTAGTATTTAAGCCCTAGGTTTACATCACACAAAGTGAATATCAATACAGCTGAATCCAATTCTATAATGGTTAGAGCTTGTACATTCTGACTGAAATAAATATCAAAGTGAAATTGCATTTACTTAATTTATATTATTCCTTAGAAACATTGTTTTCATTTAAAATATTTAACGTTTCTTTCCTTCTACCCAACAGAAATATGAAAAGACACCCTGTATGCATTCTTTTGCCACAAATAAACAAATGATTTCAGAGACCAGCAAAACCTTAAATGTCCTGTATGTTTTCAGTGGCACGTATGAACCCTACCTAATCTATTGGCTTTTTCCTTTGCAAATGGCATTTAAGCAAATAATGCCTACAGGTAAGTAAATTAAATCACAGAAAATTGCTTTAGACCTATATCACTTTTCTTAGGAGATGATAAAGAATCCTCAGGGCTTTGACAAAGATATTTTCACTATTCTATAAACTAATAAATATTTTAATTTTTAGCTGAACATCCCTATGAATTGGCTATGTACCTACATTTCCTACATCAAAACTTATTCCCATCATGGACAGAGATCTTTGCAATGGCTGAGTGGATGATGAGCCTTCTGGAGAGAGAGGACACTGAATTCTTCATTCATCTTCAACAGTATTTCAGAAAGAATTTTGCAGTTGAACCAAAAGTATAATCTATTGATTTTTTTTAACTATAGAGTCTTTTATATTTATGCTACTTGCAGAAATTTAAAATAAAATGTTTGCTGTAGTAAAAGTCAGCATATGGAATAAAGTTGTACTTTTAAATATGATTTAGTAAAATTATTAAATGACCTTGAAATATACATAGATAGCTTTTTATCTCTGGGGATAATGTTTCTGATTTTTCTATATTATAACATATCCCATCTAATATATTCTTTTTTTTTTCTTTGCAGGATAGTTCAAGAAAGAGAGAAAGCTCAAGAACTGTACACAGCCACAGACAGATCTGAGCAAAACAAACATCTAACCAAGGAATTGCTGGCAAGCCCAGTCATTTTCCTCAGAAAATGGATGGGTGAAGTAAGAAATCCTAATTTATGTGAATGAATTTAAAAAAACATAAAACAAATGCAGAGATTGATTCTTGTCTCACTCACACTGTTGTAAATCAGAAGTAACACTGATTGCATCTGGAGTAGTTGTTGTTATTATTATTATTATTGTTTTATATATGTTACGATAGCATCTAAGAGCCCAAGTTGTGGACCAGGACCCCATGGTGCTACATGCTGGACAAACACTGTTTTTTTCTGTCAAACACTGCCCACCTACCCTAACAATCTGAAGCTTGTTTCTGGGTATTATTAACAAAGTGTTAAACCATACAGGTACCTGTGTGAGTAGGAAGAGCAAGATTTGGTGGTGTTTTACAAATTAGAAGTTGCCTAATATATTTTTAATACAATAAATTTCATAATTTTGTTTAGGGCTTTGTGAGTATAGTGGATTTTCCTGCAGTGTTGTTGATTTGGGATCAAATGTACATGCAAGATTGGAATCAAAAGGTGATGGAGAATTTCTGTCTCTCAATCCTTATGCTATTAAAGGATTCACTAATGACTGCCAATGATTATCCAGCTATAAGAGAGGTACATACAACAATGCTTCATGTTACCTTTCAACTAATTATCTATTCTGTTGATAAAAATAATCACCAAAGACATGTTTTTATTTAAAGATTTTTTTAAAATAGTTTTTCAAGAACATTTGGTTCCTTCAAAGCAGAAAATTCCATTGGAGTTTTCTTATTGTGATGCACATTTTTATGTATATAATTTTTTGAGATTTGCAAGTAAATTATGGGCAAAATTGTGGTCTGTTTCACCTATGCAACCTTACTGACTTCAGTTGGGATGCATAGCCATAACTGAGAACCAAATTTTGTCTGAAGTGTATTAGTCCAGGCCTGGGGGTGTCAATACTTCCCTTGAATTACTTGCTAAATTTCCATTTAACATTAATGAGAGTACTGCATCTACAGAATATGGAGAATACACCCTGCAATATTTGTTAGCATCAGCAATTGCATTGTAGGTTGCACCAAAATGTTTCTCATTAAGGCCCTAATTCAAAGCACTTAAGCACATGTTCAGCTTTAAACACATACTTAAATCCATCCCTAATGAACAAAGCACTTAAGCTTATGTTTCAGTCCTACTGAAGTCAAATTACTTTTACACCAACTCTAAGGGATTGCCAGACCAGTGTAAAAGGCTCCACTGAGATTTGGGCCCCTATTTTAATTTGTTTGGCTTTTTAAAAAACAAAATCTAAATTTTTAGGACAAAAGCTAATTAAGCACCCCTTTAAAAGGTAAAAATCTTGAAACTCCTACTAAAAATGAAGAAATTACTAGAGTAAATGGGAATTGTTGAGTTTTTTTGGAAAACAAAAATAAAGCCTTTTTGAATGAGTGCAGTTTAGGCTATAAGCAAAATAACGAGCATAGGAAGTAAAGTCAAGGCAGTTTTCTGTGATTATAGTGCGTTCTTAAAACATATTTTTAACAAAAAATAACAACTTTACTTCCAGCCAGGAAATCTTCTCAGAATCCATAAAATATTAACAGATCTGTTTCATGTACAGTAGTGAAAATTCTATTTTTTTTTTTTTCCTTTTCAGGTGTTTTTGTTCCATGGTTGTCATCTTCTTACAGCTGATATTCAAAGGGCCTGGATTCATCTTCAGCAAGGTGGTTTACCAGCTGACATCCCTGGGCTTAGCAGGCAGAATCAAAGGTAGAGAACGTCCCTTGCTTTACGGATACAAGGATGTACTGATTGGAAACATGCTGCTGAAATTAAAGGGCTGCCTTTAAAAAAAACAAAAAAAACCCCACCTTCATAAAACTATATTGAACACTTTGTAGACTGTGTGGTAGGGCTCCAATTCAGCAATGTACTTAAAGTACATGCTTTACTTCAAGCAAACAAGTTGTCTTTTTGTACTAGTTGAACTAATCATGTGCTTAAAGTTAGGCAAGTGCTTAAGTACATTGCTGAACTGGGGCCTAGTTTGTTAACCTGCCATATATATTCATTAGACTTGGTAATATTCATGTTACAGATAAAAGTTAAATGTAGCTGAAGGCACATACTGCTGTGAGTATCTAAGTGCCTAGGTAGATAAAATGGCCTAGCATTAGCACTCTGAACCACCAAACAAGAAAGGTTTCAGAGTAACAGCCGTGTTAGTCTGTATTCGCAAAAAGCAAAGGAGTACTTGTGGCACCTTAGAGACTAACCAATTTATTTGAGCATAAGCTTTGAGCTGTAGCTCACGAAAGCTTATGCTCAAATAAATTGGTTAGTCTCTAAGGTGCCACAAGTACTCCTTTTCTTTTTGCAAACAAGAAAGCTGTTTTCTTACACCATAGATCAAAGGAAGCTGTATGCACTGTGTAAAGGTAGAGCAAACCTCTGTTTGTGTTGGGGATGGGTGAGAAGGAGGGTTCTGCAGTGACTTCTCTTATCTAATTTTATGGACATTATTGATAGCCTTCAAAAGGAACCTCATCCAGACTCTTGACTGGAGATTTGCAGCTACAATGCATGCCTTAATGGGGGAGGAAAGGTTAAAGGAATGAGTATCCTCTGCATTCCATCTGGGACATGTCTGACCTACTGGAAAGAAAACAAAACATAAACCTAGAGATAACTATCACAGATACGCTCTCAAGCGCTCAAAAAATGCTCAGGCCCTCTGAAATAGTGAGACTTGCAGGTTCGCATGTCATTCCTACCTTGTTATCACAATATCAGGCAGTCATAGTCTTGATGCTGAGTTTTTATTCTTGCCAGTGTTGCTTTCAGGTGCTGTCCTAAGGCTATATCTACACATGAAACCTTATAGCAGGCAGCATAGCTGTACCGATGCAGCTGTGCCACTGTAAGATTTCTTGTGTAGCCGCTCTATGCCAATGGGAGAGAGCTCTCCTGTTGACATAATTAAACCATCTCCAATGAGAGGCGGTAGCTATGTCAATGGGAGAAGCTCTCCCACTGACGTAGCACTGTGCACACTACCACTTAAGCCAGTGAAACTTATGTTGCTCAGGGGTGTGTTTTTTTTTCACCCCCACATGAGTGGTAGTGTAGACATGGCCTAAGAGCACTGTCAGATTCATGTGGGCATACTCACATAGTGCAGAGGAATGGTGCATGTTATAATGTTGACCTACCGCCTACTGTGTTACTTCTTCCTACATTTCTTCAGTCATGAGATCTTCCTCATAACATTTGGACGTTGAAGGACTGTATGAAACAGTATCTCATTTGACTGATAAATTAGGGAGGGCAGTACTAAACCTTTCATTTATAATGAATATTTCATATCTGGAAATGCCTTCTATATGGTATGTGGAAACATTTTTAATATAAATAGATAGTTGGGTTGCTTTGTTTCTTTTTGTAGCAGTCAACAAAATACTTTAATGAGCAAAAGTGTTTCAAATGAGAATTTAATTCAGATTGTGGCTTATTGCTCTATGCACTGAAAATAGGGAATTAAATTATGAATGTTTATATGTGCAGGCCACTTGCTGATCTGTCTCCAAGGCTCAGCTCAATGGAAGGTATTTAGCTGTTTGTGTTCATGCTGTTATTTAAGAGCATGCCTTTGGTACCTAATAACTTTTGTATCATAGGTAAGATTTCAGATATAATGAAAAGTACAGCTTACTTCTAAAAGTTCATTTAAACCTTCTGTTCTCGCCAAAAATATTAGAAGAAAGTGTTTTAGGCCCCAATCCTATATCCTGATGGTGCTCCACAGAGGGGTTTGCCTGTGCCAATCAGATTACAGGATTAAGTCCTTAATCTTTGTTATAGTATTCCTACCAATAAATGCTGGAATTTTGCAATATACGAATTTTTCAAGGAATGCGTAGAAGGAATTATTCTTCTTTAAACTGGAAAAGTTGCATGCCTTTTGGTGAAATTTGAAGGAAATGTTTTAAAATATATGGAAAAGACAGTCAGTTATTGTGGTTTAAACTTGCTTCCATGTAAAAGTTTGCAGAAGAGTAGAATGGTCCTGAATATTCATCAGATTTCTCTTCTGTTGTATTCCTAAGAAAATAATGTTCCATGTAATTAGAAGATTTCTGCAAAATTCAAAATTTTCAGTGTAAATTTGTTTTTGAGGATTTTAAAATTTTGCCAAGAAGCCCAGATTTTCTACAATGGCTTCTAATTTTGGATGCTTCAATTTCTGTATTCAGGCCTTCTCACAACTGAGTCCTGATTTTTAAAGTTGCTGAGCACCCACAGCTTCTGTTGATTTCAATTTGCGGTGTGGGGATTCAGCACATCTGAAAACTGGTCCAAGGCTCCCATAATTGAGGGACCTGAACCCAGTGGCCACTTTTGAAAATTCTGGCTATATTTTGTGTTTAAGACTGATAAATGTATAGGGTGAAATTCTGGCCCCATTGACATCAAAGGCAAAACTCCCATTGACAGTAGTGGGGCCAGGATTTCATCTCTAGAGCTTGATCCTGTGGGTCATATCAGGCAAAGCTCTTGTTGAAGTCAAGCCAGATGTTTGCATTTTTTTTTTTAAATGCAAAAACATTATCCAGTTTGGTGAAATGTTAAGTAATCTTTCCAGTTCACTATATGCTACAGTATGAAAATCTTCCATCTTATCATCCTTGTACTTAAAACATTATAAATGAGAAGTAATTCTATTAAAATCAGTGGGATTACATCAGTGTAAAACTGGTGTGAGAGGAAAATCAGACCCTTGAGTCTTTGGCTCCCTGAGCAGATGAAAATAGTTGTAATTTTTGCTTGCTGCACAGGAGGGTGCTCCTCCTCTGTGTCCCTCTACAGGAAAGAGGGACGTCTATGGTCTGTAGGTGGTTCCTAGAATAAAGTAGTAGTCTGAACTGGTCTTTTCTTATAGCTGCAGAATAACACTGATAGTAGCTGTTAAAATAGTTATTTCTAATATGTGAAGCTGGCAAGGAGACATTTGGGAGTGGTGGGTTAGCTGCTGCTATGGGAGATGCATACAAAGGTATATCGGTCAGATGATGTATCATACTGACAGTACACTATGTAAGACATTAGAGTTCTCTAGTGGGCATGTTTTTTAAAAAGTTTGGTGAATCTACAGTATAATTTTTCCTTCAAGTTTTTCAGTAACAAAAATTCTTCCAGTCTGTCTAAGAGCCTGATTCTTTAAACCCTTACATTTTACAAGACAGAACCATTAAACAGGGAAAGAACTAATACACACACACACACGGATCTGGCCTTAATCCTGACCAAAACGTCTGTAGGAAAAGACTGTACTGCCCTGCTTATGGAATTCATATAAGTTGTTCTGTGTAAAATAGACATTATCCAAAATCTAAACATTTCACCCTGCAGCTAGAACCCATTCTGTGGTTGTAAAATGATATTATATCTTTCAGTATCTGAGACTTAGAAATGTTACTTAAAGTATTATATTTGATCTACTATATTTGATTCTTTGTAATTTAACCTTTGTGACTTTCCTTATAGCAAGAAGAAAACAATTTTTGTTCTTTAATTTAATAGGTAAAAGTGTAATATACTTTTGTTTGGGCTCAGAAGCCACCAAAGGCTCTGACTAACCTAATTTATAATCAAGGATCAAACTATTTAAACATTACATTGGCTAATTACCTTTGGTGTAATTTGTTTTGATAGCTGGAAAGGTTTCTCTTGGCTTCCAGGACATCTTGCCAGTTGGAGTGAAGGATGTTTTACTGAAGCTAGTTTTACCAGTACCACAGGTTGAGATATCACACACTGTAAGTGGTAATTTAATTATACCTTGTATGTTCTGACAGGCATTGTGATAATCTTTACTTTACAAAAGAAAAAGGTTTACTGCTCTTTTTATTGAGACTATTTGTCATCAAGAATGTTTTTTGACTGAACAGAGACCTAAACAAATCAACAGATAAAGAGAACTCTGTCATTAATTATTGTTACCTACGTAAGAAAAACCTTAGATTGTGATTGGTTAAAAATTGTCCTATGAAGACTCAGTAAGTTTCTATTGTTTACCTCTTCAGAAGTTAATAAAATTGAGGTCTTTTCCAGGTATCCAGTCAGACCACTTGTGCAAATAAATACACTGTGACTGGCTGAAGAAAATTAATTGAAAGCTATTATTTCACCTCGCAGGAGGATAATTAATTTTTTCTGATCCTCTGTGTGTATCTGTCTTTTAGCTTCTAAGGAAAAACTGGTACCTCACTGAAATGCATTAACATTATGGAGAGATTTTCCAGATGTTTCTGATGAAGACTCTCAGAAAATAAGTAATAAAACATATATTGGGCCAAATCTTCTTTTGCCAAACTGAAAAGGATTTGATCCATTAACTTCAGTACATATTGTATATTTGCTTCACTCCAAGTCAATATTTACCTCTCTGGTCAATAAAGTTTGTTTTTCACCTTACAAAAGTCAATATTTACTTATTATTTTTTAGTTCTGTGACAATGTACTAAATTCTGTGTTTCTAGCAGTTTGGAGTCTTTCATTTCTTAAGGAAAAGAGTTTGGTTTAGCAGAGGTCTGTTACTTTTTTACGAAGCCTTTCCCACAACTGGAGGAATTTGTCCAGCATATAATAAACTTAACAGGATTATGAGCATAACTATTTACAAGCACAAAAAAGAATAAATTAGAAAAATGGGTGAATTGAGTAAATATAGTACTGAATTAAGCAATGATTGCATAACCCCATAGAGTGGGTGTTTATACCTTCTTTGCATTTTAAGAGAGCATCTTCTCTGATTTCCATGGGTCTGAAATGCCAAACCCCATAACAAATATTTATGGCCAGATCCTCAGGCTGTTAATTCTCCTTCAAAGTCAAGAAAAATGTGCAAGTTCATACCAGCTAGTGATCTAACTTTATATATTTACTGATTTGAATTATCAGACTGAAGGAGGACTGCAGAAGTTTAACTGTAAGCAGACTTTGGCCCCTAACAATATTAATAGGAGTTACCACTGGACAAATCCTTCATACATCCTGAGAAAATGCTTCCCTTCTTTAATAAACACTTAATTCTGTGCACATCCCAAGTTCCCACAAAATCAGCGGGAGTGTGGGTTGCATATGAATTGGAAAAATGAGTCATTTTCCTGAAAATAATTATACAGGTTGAACCTCTCTAGTCTAGCACCCTTGGGACCTGACTGGTGCCAAACCAGAGCATTTGCCAAACCATGGGAGGTTAATATTGTAGTGAGTGGGTCTCTTTTTATTTTTATCCCACTGAGGCGAATAAACGCTTGCAATGCTGCCTAGCCAAGGCTTACTGGCTCTCTTCATAACAAAGTGTTAGTGTTGTTACACAATTTTACTGGATTGGCACAAGCAAATAAGTAGATCAAGCATAAAAAACACAAAATAATATGAAAAATAAATACATAATAATACAGGTAAATCTATAATTTACTCACCTAAAATGATGTCTGAATTCCGCTTCCAAAGTGGTGTGACAATAACTGCTAAGTCAAATTACATTTGAGTTACATCTTAGGTCTCTGCTGTAGGTATATCCAGAGTAGGTGAAGTGGAGACAACAGGATTTTCAGTTGTAGAGTGCTGCTTACCTCTCCTCTTCGCTACCTTTAACCAGTCTTCCAGCTTGGCTTGTCTCACGTATTTTGGTTTTTCTTCAATGAGTTTTTCTTGTATCATGTAGAGAGACATGATCTCTTGCTCAGAAATGAAATGTCTTTTCTCCAGTCCTCTATTAAATTTGTTGCCAACTGAATGCATTTTATTGATAGAAATTTTTTCTGCGACATCCTCATAGTCATCTTCACTGGCTTCTTCGTTATCTTTGGTTTTTCCTTGCTGTACCATTTGCACAATGTCTTCATCCGTCATTTGATTAGCAATTGGTGCATCTTTGTCGATTTCCATCCAGTCTTGTAAATTTTCCTCTCCCAAATCCTTGGCCAGCTCAAGCACTACAGGGTGGGACATACCACTAGCATACTCCATTAACTCACTAACAATTTTTTGGTTTTCAGACACTTGAAATCAGACTCGTCATTGACGTCAGGACTCTCCTCAAACATTAGGACTGGCCACAATTTGTGCCATCCATTCTTCAGATTACATGGAGTTACTCTTTCCCAGGCTCTAGCTAGTGTCCAAATCATATCCTTGAGGTTAAATTTGTTCCTAAATGTTGTCAAACTCTTCCCATCATTAAGCGATACTAGCAAATGGTGCATAAACTCGGACCTGTACATACACTTCAGGGACTGTAAGATACCCTGATCACAAGGCTGAATAAGTGAGGTACAGTTTGCGAGTAAATACAGTCCCCACCACATTATTTTTGGCAAGCAGCTCTGCTTTAGGGTGGGCAGAGCAACTGTCGAGAATCAGCACACTTTTGCACTTCAGATCCAGACCTACCGAGGTGCAATGGGCTCTTGCCTCTGGTACAAAATATTTCTCAAACCACTCGAGATATAGATTAGTTGTTACCCATAATGACTTTGTTGCCACTGTATATCACTGGAAATATTTTCACCCCTTTGAATGCCATTGGGTTCACACTCTTCCCAATAACCATAAGCTTGCATTTGTGCATACCGGCTGGGTTGCTACAACCAGGGATAGTTACCTTGTCCTTCAACTCCTTCGTACCAGATGGTGGCTCCTCTGCATCAGTAGCCAACATTTATTTTAGGCATATAATGCCAGTAGAGAGCAGTTTCACAGGCATTATATACCTGCTCTGGGTATAACTTCTCATTTGCAGCTAACTATGCAAATTCGTCAACATACTTAGTGGCAGCTTCCGTATCTGCACTTCTTTTTTTCATTGCACACGCAATGTAGACTAATGCCATGCCTGTTTTTAAATTTCTGAAGCCATCCTTGCAAATAGTCACACTCATGCTACAGGTTAAGTTCTTTGTGGAATATTTTTGCTTGTGCCATCATCATCTCGCCAGCAATGCTAACATCTTCGTTCCTACGAAGCTTGAACCAATGTGAAGGTGCACTATGTAAATCGCTGCTTTCCCCTCTGTCAACACCTTACAAATACTCATAGTTTTTTTACTGTCACTTTTGGCAAATAACTGAAGGATCTGATTCTTTTGCTTCTTCAGATCATACACTGTATATGACCCTACATTGTAAAAAGCACACAACACATGTACCGATGTGCCCTTTTCCAATTTCTGCAACAATTCTACCTTTTGCTGTATCGACATTGACACATGCTTAAGCTTAGCAGCATTACCAACACTTCCACTGCTTGCTGGTCTCTTAGAAGACATATTTAGGGGTAAATTAGAGCTAAATAATAGCCCAGAACACTGAGAGCCAGGACTGGTGGCTGTAAACAAACTTTGCTGGACTATGGGAAACTTGGCCCCACTCACGATAAGTGGACATCTGGCTAACTAAAATCATGCCGGACCACGGATGTTGCCAGACCAGAGAGTGCCGGACTAGAGAGGTTCAACCTGTAGGTAAATCCCAGAATGGAGTTTTGGGCCCTGCAGTGGATTCTCACACTGATGATGATGCAAAGTAAATTTTTTTGTTTCATTCATTTAATATTCCATTTTTTTTTTAAGGAAACTTGGTTGAAAGAGTTTGACCCTCTTGCTGTGGAGTCAACAGTTTCAGTATTTTATGGCCTTGAAAACTGCATTCCAAGGCTAGCTCTTTTAAACCCTCTCTTGTACAGAAAACCAAAGGAAAAACAGCAAAAAAAAGTGAAACCACTGAATTTACTGTTCAGTTCAATGGTATGAATCTTTTAGTCTATCATCTGTTGGTATGCATTCTATTTTGTTGTTGCACTTTAAAAAAAAATTTAATATTTTGCAACTCTTTTTGATCCTAGAATAAATATTTTAAGTTCAAATATATTTAGTAGATTTTTTTTTTAAAAGATAAACTTTCAGTTGATTCATGGTGAGCGATAATAGGTTCCCTTTGTATGATGTTATCATTTTGGTCCTTACTTCCCTTCAGCATTTTCAACATAAACTTGAGAAGTCTTGTTTAAAGTGTCTCATCCAGTGGTGGATGAGGGTTAACTTGGGGTCCTCCAAAACCCTTTGCATTATCTGTGAGCATGTCTACACTACAAACTTAAATCAATCTATGTTAGGTGACGGTCAAGTTACAGCCACTGCAGTAATTACTGCAGTGGTTCGTATCTACACTACCCTCCTTCTGACGGTGATGCGCATTCTCGCCAGGAGCGCTTCCACTGACATAAGAGGAGGGGCAGTGTGAAGGGCTGAGAGCCCAGGCTCTCAGCTCTGTGCACAGCACCCTGCCAGGAGCCCGGCTGCCTCTCTCTCACTTCCCCCCGTTCCCTGCTCCCTGCAATGAGCCCAGCTGCCCCCTGGTCAGATAGACTCTTCTCACCAGAGTTACCACTCCCCTGCCTGATACTAGGGTCAAAGTGGATTAAGTCAAAGTGTGCCTTATAGTGCTGGTGTATATGGAACCTCAAACACACCCATTCGTTTCCCATCAAACACATTCAAAAGACAAATAGAAACATTAAAAACTGCAGCCTCAACATTTTATTTTAAGCAAAACTAGTTATTCTCTCTCCCACTGTGTATCATCCCCACTCCTGAGCTGCCACATTTGCCTCCCATCCACAATCAGGCTTTGCATGCCTCTTCTTCATATATGGTGGTCATACAACTTGTTTCCTTATATGTATAGACAAATATTTTTATTTGTACAATATTGGGCATTATAATTTGGCTGTATGTTTTCTGTAAATTAGAGAAAAAATTTTTGAAGCTAGTGGAGTTATGCTAGAGATCTATTTGGCTGACTATCTCTCATTTCTTTTCTTCATCATTTCCTTTCCTCCTTACTGCTTTTTCTTCTCTTCTCTCCTGATTTTTCTTGCTAATATTTGCTCTTTAAGGCTTATATCTTTTCACCCCTCCTCTATCTTCAAGGCATTTTCCTCTGTTCTAATTTTTTATCTTTGCAGTTTTGTATTTCCCCCCCTACAAGGTCCCTATCAATTTTGCCTGTTAATATTTTTTTCTTTCCTGTGTGGTACTTTGCTGTGTCTTCTCCCTTCCTTCAGTCAAAAATTTTTCCTTTCTATTCATCTCCCCAGCCTCACGCTTTGCCCCTGGAAGGAAGGATGGTCCAGTGGCTCCATTCTTGCTCTACAACAGGAATCCTATGTTGTTTTGGTCAAATCACTTAGCCTCTCTGTCCTTCATTTCCCCATCTGTAGAATAATATTTTTCATAATAAAATAAAGAATGTGAAGTTCTTGGGTACTAGGATAATGGGAGCCATATAAGTACCTTAGATAGAGATGGGAGTGCCAAGTGAGTGGGCCTTGTTGGTCCACCTACATTCTCTTACCTTTCCTCTAGCTTCAGTGCTGCCTGGAATATGCTATTGCCATCTGCAGGAAGGAGAACTGCCTC